GAGCCCCCCACTCCTGCCCCCGCCGCTCCCGCCCCTCGCCTCTTTCTAATAGCTTTCCCTTTAAAACATTCGCAGGCGTGTTGTGGGGATTTTTCACCAGAAATGCTGTACTCTCTGAACCTTTAAAGTGATGTTGCTCCAATTACAGAGAGACATTGAGCGGCAAATAGACTGATCCAATAATGGGAGATTCATCATCCGCTCTTTCCGAAACTGTCACATTGAATTTAAAACTACAAGGGCTTCTCTAGCAGCCCGCCTCTCTCGGGCTGCGGGCTGCGGTGAGCCGAGGCAGCCGAGGGAGGAGGAGGGGAAGGGATGAGGAGGAAGAAGGGGAGAAGTGTCCCAACGAACTGGATAGGAAGAAAAAGGAGAAGGAAGGACAGGCCCAGGAGGGAGAGAATGGGGAGAGAAAGGGAAAGGGAGGAAGGAGGTGGAGGGGGGGAGGATGGAGAGAGAAGAGGAGGACGGAGGGAGGGGAGAGGGGAAGGAGGTTGAAAGGGGATGAGGGAGGAGTGGAGCAAGGAGAGAAGGGAATGATGGAGAGAAGGAAGGAAACGAGAGAAAAAAAGGAGGATTGGGGAGGAGGGAAGGGAGGATCAGGAGGGAGAATAAAGAGAGAGGGAGGAAGGAGAGAGAAGGGAAGGATGAGAGGAAGGAGGGCAGAGGATTGAAGCAGGGGAGAAGAGTGGGCAGTGGGCAGAGGGAAGAGGAGGATGAGAGGGGGCAGAAGGGATGGTGGACAGATGGAAGAGAAGGAGAGCATTAAAAAGAAAGGGGGAGGAAGGAGAGGAGGACTAAAAGAGGGAGGGAGAGGTGAAGGACAGGAGAACTTCCAAATAGTGACTCCAGCCAAATGCAGCCCCCAACTATAAGGAGTCTAACCTGATGCCCTCCTCCTTGATTGGTAGTTACCCCATCAGTACAGATAGGGTGGAGGCAGCTGGGTGCACCCTAACCCCACTTAACTCCCACCCATCTGGGTCCTGGACCCCAGCCCAGAAGAGGAGGGGGTGTGGAAGGAGGAAGGCAAACAGGATAGCGACCAATGGCCCATGTCTTCCCTCAACAACAGCAACCAAAATACATCTCCCTGAGTCGGATCTGAAGAATGGAATGGAGGTACTAACCCATCTATTATAATTAAATTATGTTCACAGGGAGATGGCATTCCCTTCTCCACTCTAAGATATTGATAGGCTCAAAACTAAATCATTAGGGGACATATTCTTAAATAAGGAGCAAGTGTGGACTGTGAGCAAGAGGTCTTCGAAGCCAGGGTGGATATGTATGCATCCTTTGTAAAATCAAGTTTGTCACTGGAGAGATGGCTTTTTTGCTGGCCCCAAATTTGTAGGCATAGTACTCTGACCATTCCAACCCACTTGCCCCCAGGAAGGGAGCCCCTAAACATCACAGTCCCTGGACACAGTGACAAATTGACTTTGGATGAAAGTGGCACAGGCTAGGCTGCTAAGCCCCAAGCTGGGGAAAGGAGGGACAGGCCAGAATGATGTGTGCCAGCCCACTGGGAAGAGGTGCCCAGACCCGCTGGGCTGGAAGAGAGGGAAGCAGGCTGCCCTCCAGGGGTGGTTCCCCAGGCCTGGTGTCCTGGGCCTGGACCCCAGCCTGGCTGCAGTCCTCCCAGCTTCTCAGTGACTGTGGCAGGGTTGCCAGGCTGGACTTAATTACTCTCCCCTCTGTCTCCGAGGGAGGAGGGAATGTGCAGAGATGGGGACAGGCCTAGAAGGTGGGGGACCCCTCTCCCCGTTTCTAGTGGCAGTAGGAGTGAGCTGCAAGGGTTAATCCCGAGGTCAAGGGCCAAGAGCACTACTTTTCGCTATAATTTAATTTCTTTCGCTATAAATACTACACGTAAACGCTGCCCATCCGGCTCTATTTTGCCCGTGGCCACCGCCGCCTGGTTTTCTGTCGCGCTCGCGATCTGGAATGCGCCCGGCGCGTGCTTCGGAATACAGAGCTGTGATCAATCCAGCCCGAGGGGAGGGCAGCAGAGGGGGCGGGCGCCGGCCCTGCTCCTAGCCCATCTCTCTTTATTATAATGAATTAATTTGACTTTATTTATCCCATTTTCTGGAGCTGACAGAATGTTAATTTGAGTTGAAATTTCGCTCGCCTCTCACTCTCTGACCCCTGGCCTTCAGATTGGCGTGTTGTAATAACCTGAATCTTTCAACAGAGGCCCTGATAATTGTTACCTTATTAGCATGCAAATTGTTTAATTAATATTATTATGAAGGAGCGAACAATCCGTCCGTCACTTGACCCCTTGAGTGAGTCCGCGCGCCGCAGCCGGCTCCACGCATCTCAATGCGACCATTTCAATCGCCCAGTGGCTTTTTTTTCTTTTTTTTTTTTTCTTTCTTTTTTCCTCCTGTGGTCGGGACCCTAAAAGAAAAAAAAGAAAAGAAAAGAAAACTCAAGCGTCGGAGTGGGGAACCTTAATGAAGGTGGGGGTGGCCTAGACGACCCCGCCCGGCTCGAGAGCTCTTCAGAGACCCTTGGGCTGGCGGAGGCACGGCGGGGAGTCACTTGGCTCCAACTGGAGCGCGCACGTGCCCCCGCCCCCCCATCCGATCTTGAACATCAAAATTTCATAATTGCTTCCTTGTCAATTGCGGCTTTCTGGAGCGGTCGCTT